GTGTTCACCAATTTCTATATTCTCAATAACACCTTTCATTACAATGTTAATTTCATAAAAATTTGCTTTAACTTTTAATTTTATATATTAATCTTATATTTCTATTAACTTATGAGAAAAATGTTAAAGAGATTCAATAAAAATTGAATATTAAAATAAATAAATTGGTTACATGAAAAAAATATCAGGAAATGATGTAATTCGAATGGCACCATCTCCAATGTGACCTTCTTCAATTTCATCTTCTGGACTGAAGAATTGTTGGTTACCATTGAACATCTTACTATATCAAAAAAGACAATTCCTGAATAATGATTAGGACTATTTGTATGAATTCCATTTTCATCAACTGAATTACATCCTTTATATCAACTGATATAACTTGATCCACTTGATGAGACAGATTGATATAAAACACTATAATAGAGGTCAGGATTTAATTTACCAGTTTTACCACCATAATAACCTCCTCCAGCACCTGATGTAGGAATCACGTTTGTATTAATACCTGTTTCGCCAAGTCCCAGTGAATAACCATGGGTTTGATTTGTGTCAGATTTTTCAAAAATTTTAGATTCTCCAGTTTTAGGTACATATCCAGTCAAATCACCACCTGGAGCACCATATGTGTTCCATGAAGATCCTGAACCACCAGCTGCAACAATAATGTGACTATAGAGAGATTTGTTAGAAGTGCCATTAATTAAGCGAATATCGGTGGCACCACCGCACACCTGGTGGATCATCATCAGCAGCTCATATCCACCATCACTTCCTCCGTTGAAACCGCCTTTACCGTTGTATTTTGTTGAACATTGAGTTGGTTCACCACCTTTACCACCTAGAAATAAATATAATCGCTGAGGATAACGAAATTGTACCTTGCCTACAACAAATGCCCCTCTTCCTCCATAATATTGTGTGAGCTTTTTTTGATCTGTGCATCCTTGACCACCTTGTGCTCCCCATAGTTCAAATATATAGGAACCTCTTGCTAAATTGAGTTCTACAACAGGTTTTTGATCATCATATTTATAAAACATTTTCTACTCATTTATCTGATCTTCTTACATTTAAATATTTTAACTCGTCTAGTACATATATTATGCAAAATATCTAAAATTCAAGTCAGATTGAAAAGTATTCATGCATACTTATATCGAACAAATTGTTCACTATTGGAAAATAAGTCGTTGAATTTAGTTTAGCAATTTTACAATCTTATTCTCAATTTACAACAATTACGGTTGTTGCAAACAATATCATTAAATATAGTTATCCTACGAGATTAACAAAAGTTGAGTCATCAACAACAAGACCAGAATGTTTCCTCCCTCACAGCATCCCTCAGATTCGATGGTGTTCTCAACGTCGATTTCACAGAGTTCCAGACAAACCTTGTCCCATACGCTCGTATCCACTTCCCAATCTGCTCATATTCACACATCATTTCTGCAGAGAAGGCATACCACCGGCAGCTCTCTGTTGCCGAAATCACGAACTCACTCTTCGAGCCAGCAAACATGATGGTTAATTGCGACCCACGCCACGGCAACTACATGGCTTACACACTCCTTTACCGTGGTGATGTCGTTCCAAAGAATGTCTCTGCTGCTGTCGCTACAATCAAGACAAAGCGCACAATCCAGTTCGTCGACTGGTGCCCAACAGGCTTCAAGATGGGTATCAACTACCAGCCACCAACGATCACCCAAGGTGGCGACCTCGTAAAGGTACTGCAAGCTGCCTGCATGCTCGCTAACACAACAGCCATCGCCGAAGCTTGGTCTCGCCTCGACCACAAGTTCGACCTCATGTACGCCAAATGTGCCTTTGTCCTCTGGTACGTCGGTGAAGATATGGAAGGAGCTGAATTCCCAGAAGCTCGTGAAGATCTTGACCTCCTCTAGAAGGACTACAACAAAGTTGCTGCTGAATCAGTCGAGGGTGGCGATGTGGAAGAAGATGGTAGCGAAATGTAAGAACAATAAACACACCTAAAGTTTTTTTTAAGGGTGCACACGAGAGGATCATGTAAACTTCAGAATTTAGAACCTTATTTTTAGGCATTATCTTGGCTACCTATTTAGGCTCGAAAAGCAAAAAAATATCAAAAAATACAACTTGACTCCATTATGACCCTTTCATGGAGGTAGTTTTTATCCGCTAGTATTTTCCCTTTGAATCTCTTTACAATTCGAAATCAAATTCAAATCTCAGTAGAAGAAAGGAAGAATCGACTTACTACGGTTGTAATACGAATAAATACATATATTTAATTATTTTTATTTACATAATAATTGTTTGAAGCTCATATTCCATCAAATTTTTAAATAAAAACATTAAAATGTTGAAAATGTTCATATATTTTAATAGGGTTTTGGCACTTTATTGAGGAATTACTACATACATAGTCGAACTGAACTTGATATTTTGAAATTTAAATTATTTATCAAAATTAAAATTTAACTTGAAATTTATAATTATTTAGTCATATTTTGCATAATTCTAAGTAGATTTTGTAAAAAATCAAGAAAGAAAACTTTTAACGTGCTTTATTTTTTCTTTTTTATAATAATACATATTATTATATAATTAACATATTCATAATGTTTCACCCTTTCAAAAATATAATCCTCCTCTCAAATAAACGTACATACGAGAAAGGGAC